CAATGAATCTTTCAAATAGATTCATTGACGATGCGTAACTAAAAAATTAAATGTTGATTAGTTGACCGATCACAGAGTAAAACAAATTGGTTCATCTCATGTTTATATCTAAGTCATTAAAGTAAAACCATCGAAGACAAAATATAACAAAAAATAGAAAAAAAAATAGATTTATGTAAATCATGGCATAAATGCCCCTGAAATCAAAATTATACTTTATATTATGGAGATACCATTGTAGGCATGTGTCCTTGTTTGTTATTTATTTGCATTTCGTAAGTGCCATAATATTTTATATAAATCAGTTATCTAGATAGCATAAAAGGGAAATTTAATTGATGAAAAATTATTACTTTTCTAGCATGCTTATCAGCTCTATAAGAATCCTAAATACACTAACCTATAATTGGGCTTATTTCTGATTTAGAACTCTTATTCTTATTTAGAACTCTTATATTAAATATACTTTAACCTGCAATTCAGCAACAAAGCATATATGGTGATTTATTTTTATTCGAATTAAGGGCATGGACAGATTTGTCATGTATTTGTGCTATAATTTTGATTATCAGAAACAGTAAAACGTTTCTGCAAACAGGACAAATGATGAAATCAAATATAATAATAATAATAAAATAAAATAAAAAAATAAAAAATAACAATTGCCAAAGCAACCATTTTTCATTTAAGGCTTCTTTCAAACCTTTGTAAACGAAGTCAGACAAAGGAAACTTAAATGTATGTCCAGGCAATAGACACAAATTCCCAGAATACCCTTGAAGACAAAACAAAGGTGAAAAAGCCAAGGACAGGGGCAATTGCGTCTATACTTCACCACCACTAAAATAAATATATACCAAAAATACTTATAAGTGCCTACTAAAAACCAAAGGAGTAGATAGGGACACAGATAGGGACACCATGACGTTTAACAGAAAAACCTCCCAAAACAGCATGATATACTCCAATAATATCCTTGAAAAACTCAAGGCCGTTTAATTATGAAAATAGTGACAAATGCAATCCAATTCCAGCACATCTCCCATTTAGGAGAGAAATTAAACCAAAAAGTTAGTGAAGAAAACTAAACATGATGCTAAAAAACTTTTGATATTTTGCACCTTTAAGTCTATCTTTATCAGAACCTGTTATACGCAAAAGGAAGAACACACATATGAAGCATAAGAGATAACCTTTGTTAGCAATTGTTGTAGGTGACGATGAATTTGCAGAAGAAACTATATCAAAAGTGGCAAAATAATCTCGATTTTGAGATGAAAAACAAATTAAATACTATAAAATATGCATATATATGGAATTTATATTTATATTAGCATATATCATCTGATTTTCTTAACTCTATTTTCACAGGGTAAAGTATACATATATATGGTAATAGAAATTGAATTAACTGAAATTTGAATGTAATTCATTAATAGTGGTGCGTGATTACAGGTTCCAAAAATATACACATAGTTTTCCTATAATTATGAAATCAAACGTATGTTTTGGTTTATTTATGGACTAAAATTTAGGAAATCAAGAAAATGACATTATAATTCTGATTTGCTAATATTTAGGAAATCAAATCAAACATTGTATATACGTGTGTTTGTGTCAAGAATATGCATCTTCATTATATATGTTTAGGTGGCATTATAACAAATTGACAAGTGGAATATTAAATAAATAAAAAAATTAAGAAAATGACATATGTCCAATTGCATAATAAGTTGACAAGTGGCAATGTTATTTTCTTTTATTAGGGTAGATTCTAACTCTATCACAGATGAAGGCATGATGTGTGATCAGGGGCACACAGGTAGTCTAATTCAGGATCCACATGTTTCAAAGGTACTAATCTTTATCTATTGTTAATATATATGTTTCACCTTTTACTTCTTTGTTCCACCACAGCTGCCGTTTTATATATTTATTTGCTAAAGAACAACCGATCAATAATTATAGAAGTGAGGATGTTTGGGGATTTCTGATCGCATATTCACTACACCACTATTTCACAATTAAGACATGTTTTTACCACGTCTCCACTTGCAACATTTCTTTCTTTCCTTCTTTCTTTTTCATGCAGGTTATTTTGTAATTACATAGAGGTCGGTGATTCACTCAAGTACCAATGACAACCAGTAGGTGTTAATTTCAGTGAGTCTTAATGTCCTTTCCAGTTTTTGAGGTCCATACAATCTGGTAACTCATTATCAGGTCCCATCCCATATTTCCTATAATGAACCCGTAAGTTTCAATAAGAATCAACAAGCTAGGGTTTAATGCTCTAATGGGTTTAGTCAATCCTCTTTTAGTTCAAGTACAATGTTTATGTGCAACATGAAGAGGTTAAATTGGTAAAATCATCAAACTTTCCTAGAGTGGCATCGGTGGAAGCATTTTAGGCTATACGGTGTGGCTACGGTCTGGGACCGCGGTTTGTGCCACGTGGACCGCACACACCGCCCCCGACCGCGGTCTTGCGTGGTTTTGGCTGCAGTGTAGTCCTTTAGTGCCGTGTTTGGTGTTTGGTTGATGGGTGTACTGACCGTTGAAGGGTTGTTGCGTAATTTTTTTTTTTTTTTAATTTTTTGCTTTTTCTTTCATATATATATATATATATATATATATATATATATATATATATATATATATATATATATATATATATAATAAATGAATTATGTAAATGAAGATAAAATGGTATCACAACAAACAATGAAAGTAGATCACTATTTCTTTAACATTAAATATATATGTAAATAATTAAGTGAATTATGAGAAAACAATATATAAATTAGAAAGGAATTATAATATTGGAGATGAGCACCACCTTTTTTTTTTTTTTTTTTACAATAAATGGGAACCAAAAACTTTTTGGTTAGGTTTTGTGTTTGTAGAAAAAACCAAACACAAAACAAGGTAATAATGTCTTTTTAAATGTTTAAAGTTAAAAACACAACCAACATTTGGAGGCCTTACCCCTATGCCTACCACACGTGAAAGCCTACAAGGATTTAGTATTATATATTTAATTTATTATTGTATCCTTAAATTTAAAAATAATTAAATATTGATTAATGAAGGTGATTCATGTCTGTTTCCAAATTTATATTTTCTATTCTATTAGACTTTTCTTCTTTTTTGTCCTTAGTAGTAATGTACCGTCAATTCTTTCCTTTCTGTCATTCATGGTTATATTAGGGTTTGTTGATGATTTTTTCACCTTTGGAAGTGTTTAAATAATGTTTAATTAAATGCAATATCATATACTGAGTAAAAAAAGTAAATGAATCGTCCCTGTGCTTTAACCTAATCTGCAGTTGCATCCCTATTTTTGTATTTCAGTCAAACACATTGTTATTATGAAAATTGCACGTTTCATCCTTAGGTGTACGTTGAATGCCCCACATGCACGGGTAATTTTGTTATTTACTTTGAAAAATCTCTTTAATTACTCCATCCTCATTCATCTATGTTCTCTGGTTTCTTTATATGAAGAAGAGAAAAAACCAAGAATGGTGATACAATCCAATTGTGGAGCAGAAGCAGTGATCTGATTTCATGGGCCAAGAACAAGAACAAGTCACGAAGGTGGTGTTTCTATGGCTTTAGATATAAGGTAATGTCAAATGCGTCTTGTGTGAAATTTACGTAGTTATTGTAAGTTGTAACAGGAAATAGCAATGTACTTTCATTGAATTATGTATTAGTATTATATAGCATCCTACTTTAATCTATTCTAAAATATCATTCTACTTTCAACTTTTTTTTCTTAATAAGGTATTATACTTTGTGATATATTGAATTATAGCATAGACTTTTGATTTTTCTTAATATGGCATTTATACATTTGAATAATCTACCAAACTATAGGATTGAAATTTAGTTTGTATGTTGATCACAATGGTATAATTAGGTAGTGTTTTTAAGGTGCAATACTCTAATAGAAAGAAATGAAAGTAGGATGCTTTAATAAATAATCATTGAAATTTTGTTGCTATTATTGCCTTTAACCCTTGCAAATGTTGTACAATATTAATTAACGTATGGCAAATATTTCTAGGAAGCACGGACTTAAACCTTACACTAAATGCAATAAATTGCTATGTACTTTTATTTATATGTGTATTAAGCATCCTACTTTCAACACTTTGAAAAATCATTATTGGGTAGATTTTTAAAGTACAATGCTCTAATAGTAATAAATGAATATAAAATGGAATCATAAAGAAATCATTGAAAGAAATACCCAAATTACCCTCTATGGATCGTGCTTATTTTCTTTTCTTATTTATGTATTGTAGTGGACAATCCAACTATTTATCTCATTGTACTTTCACTATGTTGGTTATCATTACAATATACTTTATATAACAGTGAAAGAAATACTCATTTACCCTCTATGGATCGTGCTTAGTCAGTTAATTAATATTTAGGGTACACGACATACCTTTGGGCTGGGCCATTTATATGGATATTTTTAAGATTAATATTAGGGATCAGAATATACTGGAACACGAACCAGATAAAACCAATCGGGATAGGATCGAGACAATATTCTATTGGCTTTTTGGAACTGGGAACCTGTAGGAACCAGAAAAAACCGGTAAAACTGGCAAAATCTGGAACCATATATTGCTACTTTTCGAGGACCAGTTTCAACATTGATGATACGGAAAAAACATGTAAGAATTGGAACCAGTAGAAGTGTCGGTCCGGTTCGGTTCCAATTTTCCACCAAATTGGTTCCCGGCCGGTTCCGGTTCAAAACTATTTTGCCGATAATTAGCCTGTGTAATGTCTTCGAATATCATTTATTTTAGTTTATGACATAAAGTCATGAATATTATAATTATAACCATAATAATCTAAAAAGTGTTGTAGCAACGTTCTTTTATATTGCAGCTTTATGATTTTAATCAAAATACAAATGTATTTGATGTATATTATATTTAACCTATAAAATGGTGACTTGAGGTGATCAAAATTGCGGCAATTAAAACTATTCGTATTTTCCTTTATAGTTGAGTTAATTCAAAAATTAAATATTTAGGTCACAAATGACCAATCAGTGGCAATATGACATAATTCACCATATATACATATCAATAAATTTGAAATAAAATTAAATGAAACCGTTTGACATTACAATTTATGGTTGCAAGGTTTATGTAATAAAGCAATTGTAGAGTTGTATGATGTCTTCTTCTGGTGAACTGAATCTGTCCCTTTCCTTTTGTAGTTGCATATGATGTGGCACTAAATGTTTTTTCTGCATGAACACATCTTGCATTAGGATTATAGAATTACTTTACCAAATTTAAATGTGGATATCATTAATTGTAAAATACAGTGATTATATGAAAAAAAAACACTATAACCAGGAAAAAAAATAAAGAATTATAGGTAATGCAATAATACAGAAATCAATGAAATAGATGGATCTCCTGAAGGGTTGTTATCTTTTCATGCTTGTTTACTATTGAAATATAGCTTTACAGTCTGTAATAAAATTTAACTACTATAATTGAAAATGAATGGATTTCTTTTGATAGTGCTTTGGGACCGGGAAGAATGAATAGGAAAAACATTAAGAACATTGAAATTAATAAGAATGAAGTGGATTTTTTTATTAAAAATATCATTTAAAACAAGGAAAATTAAATGAAAAGAATGAAATTTGAATGTAATGCAGAAAATCAAGTTCACTTACCATCTCATCGAATAGTGTATTCATGTTGATAAGCCGAATATCATAAAATTTCGATTTAGTAGTAGTTTCCTGTATGAAATATTCATGGTTTAAATTCATGTAGAAAAGCGTGTAATCTATCAAGCAACAATCATATTGCAAAAACACTTACTTTGATGGTTGTTTATATGTTTGGCAAAGAAAGGAACTACCATCGTGAAATGCATTCTGGAATTTCCATTGACATTACTGCATGAACATTTAAATTTTAAGGGCAAAATGCAAAAATGGACTTTAAATTCATTAAACCGGATAATAACGCGCAAAAATGAAATGAACTGATATCTTATCCTATCTATGTGCAACAATATGTGTGGTGTTGATTTTCTGTTGTTCATCGTACCATATATGAGGATTAATAGTAATACATACCTTTAGTTGTGTTTGGAACATCGTAATACTTCTTGATATACTATTTTTTGTCTTTTGTATTTCTTGATTTTTGTAAGATTCTTTGATAACAACTTTTACATTTTCAATACTTCTAGCAGAAAGAGGGCAACAGACAATTGTCCATGTAAAAAAATAGGTTCCTTAAGGTATATTCCCACTCTGTCTAGTGTTTGGCCTTGTGCATTATTAATAGTCATTGCAAAGCATACCTTGATTGGAAACTGTGTTCTTTTGAATGGCACTGTGTATTCTTCACCCGAGGGTGGTTGTAAAGGTATTCTATGAATAAATACCTCTTTCCCAGCAAAATCACTGAATGCTATATGTGCTCGAATAACATTTCTATCAAAGTCCTTGCAAAAGAGTCTTGTACCATTACGTAATCCTTCTGCTGGATTCATGCTTCTCAATAATATAATAGGTGCATCTACCTTTAAAATCAATTTATGTAGTGGCAAACCATGTGGAGTTAAAGAATGTAGAAGATCCTCATAATGAGCTTGGTCATTTGGATCAAGAGTTTCATCAAAGCTAATGTACTCTTTTTCTTCTCTTTGGAATTTTTGTGTTAAGATATCATTTATCTCATCAACAAAAGTATTTTTAGTTGTCAAAATAGCTCGATTCATGGATGAAGGGTTATTTGTAGAATTTTCAAATATATTTGGGTAAACATACTCAACTAGAAAATTTGACCCTTGTAAATCGTCATTATCCGCTATAACTATTTGTGACGGAAATCATCATCTTCTAAATTTTCTCTACCATCACCTAACCTTTGAAGAAATTCAGCAAAAATTGGATCTAGTAACGTCCTCATGTTTTCATCTAGCTGTAGTACACAAAGTGATGACTATATGTGTGAGTTAGTTATATAAGAAACAATTATTTCATATTTTCTTCCATTTCGAACAACTGGCAATGTTTGCCTAAAATCACCACCAAGTACAACTACTTTCCAACCGAAGATTTCACTGGATTCCATAAGATCTTATAAAAGGTCATCTAGTGCTTCTATTGCTTGTCTTTTTGCCATTGGAGCTTCATCCCAAATAATTATCTTACAAGCCTTAATTAATATACTCAATGAACTTTGTTTACTGACCCTACAATTTGACCTATCTTAGAAATCTAATGGTATCTTAAATCTGGAATGTGTTGTCCTACCTCCTGGTAGTAATGATGCAACTATACCTGATGTTGCAGTTGCTAAAGCTATGTGTCCCTTTAATCTGATGTTTGCTAATAATGCTCTATACAGGAAACTTTTCCCTGTACCATCTGGACCATCAATAAAAAATGCTCCACCATTGTTACTTTCTACTTTACCAATTATTGTATCAAATGTGAGTTTTTGTTTTTTGTTGAGATTTTTGTATTGCTCTTTGATCTTTTTTTGATACAATTATACTTTTTTATGTTGCTATTCCACTCGTTTCATCTTCTAAATCAACATATGATAAATCATTTGGCAATATATTGAACTCAAGAAGTTTTATTCCATTAGACTGTAGCAATGTATCAATCTGCTGAAATGCACATCGCTTTGCTTATGATAGTGAAAGAATGTTGTAGTGCAGAAAATCTTCTAGCATGGCATCTTTAAATGATTCCCATAATTTTCTTCGATTGTTTGGATTTGTATACACAAGTAGGTAGTGTAAACTCTTCGTAATTCATATGGCATATGGAAATTTGATGCCTCTTCCAAACATAATTGTTGGCTGTTATCATCAAGCAGGTATCCATGTAGTAATGTAGATTCTCGAAAGGTGTCAACTCTTTGTCCTTTATAAAGCTTTAGGTCTTCGTACGATTTTGGACATCTTTTTTTTATTTATTTTTTATTTTTATAATAGTAGTCTTAAAAAATATCTTTCACCTTCACTTGGGTGTGCCAACACTATTTGTCCTATTAAATCTTCTGTTTTTTTTTTTGTTGGGAAAGAGGCCAAAGCTCCGACAAAGAATTAAATCTTCTTTTTGTCTAGGTAACCAAACTCTTTTGTTCACCTTCCCTACAAAATACTCAGGAAACTCAACATATGTTAAATTAAGATGTTGGGCATATCTATCTGTACTATTTTGAACAAAAAATGTGGTTAGCATTGTTTTTCTTTTACCTTTATTATCTACAATATTAGTCAACTGTTCTTTCTTCTTGAATGTTATTGGTTGGTAATTTTCCAAATGTAGAGGCAAATGAATAATTGCTGGTTTGATTTCACCCAATGGAAATCAAAAAATTCTCCAGCTCCCTCTTGGGGTGATATCCACCTACCGACTTGAAATTGATCAATTTCATTTATACTTGAATGTTCATCTTGGGTTATAGAAAAACGTATTTTGTCACATCATTTGCATATGTACTTATAAATGTATTTCACAGCCTTTTATTGTCGAGCATATTTCTATATTTACATGACAATCAAACCTACAAAGTAAATAGGGATTGTATGGAACAACCCATCTGTTATCTAGCTTGGCACCTCGAACTATAACTTTAACTCCATTGTCACGCCTTTGATATGCTGGATATGCATCATTATTTTGTGTGTTACATTTGAAAATGCTTTTGGATAAAAAATTCTTACAATATCCTTTTTTTCATACAAACATTTTGGGATTAAGATCACCACATGTACCATGAAGCATATGTTTCACTATCTACGAAATAGATGAGGACTTGAGCTTTCATTTGGTATTTCTGCTTAAACTATTTCATCATTTTCTTCGGCATGGTACATCTTATATAGATTTCCTAGTATAAGCAAAAAATGAGCATGTGTAAGAACTCTTTTTTGAAACTCTACAACATAAGTGTATGCAACAACCTTTCCAAATATTTCATTTTTGAAAATCTCTTTCTTAAATTGCTCAAGTTTTGCATGGAATACTCTAATAATTAAATCCGCCCTATTTTGTGCCTCCTCATGACGCATCATGTGTTGTTTGATTTCTGGCCAATTAGGGTTATATGTTATGGTTAAAAAAATGTTTGGCTTACCAAAATTTTGGACTATTGTCATAGCATCAATGTATTTTCGTTTCATGTTCCTTGGACCACCAATAAAATTTGTTGTTAAAACTACTCGTCGACCATTTGCTGATGAATTTGTCTCACCACTTGTCATAACATCTACAACTCCTTGAAGGAACTCTTGTCGTAACTCTTGTTGTTGATTTCTATAAAATGCTAATGTTTGTGTCTCTAATTTTACATAACTATCAACTATATATTGTTGTAATAAGCGACTGAAAAGCAATATACAAACGTATTTGAAGTTTGTAGGCATAATATTCGAGAATAGAGACACAATTTGAATTTTCTACAGTTTTGTTCATAACTGCCAAAAAATATTAATAAGTTTCTAAAAAATATTAATTAGTTTCTAAGTAGTAAGTTGTAGAAAAAAAATTAATGGAGCATACTTGTTTGTTCCATAGTTAATAATTCATCAACATTTGTAGCACTGAATGGCAAAATAAGCCTTTCTGCAGAATTTGTACCTATTCTACTAATTCCTTATTTACTTTTACTTTTTTTAGGGAATGTGTTGATACCAGCCAAGTTCTCCAAATGGAAACATTAAAGGGTACTATAAAAGATCTTAACAACCATAATAGTACTCAAAAGTCCTTAGGAGTTCACTATGCGTTGTTACTTGTATATTTCTATGGCTATGTTCTCCGTTCTCCTCCCCTTAAACCCAAAGTGCTGCTACTTGTGAAATTTCTGGCTTGCTATACACTCGTTAATCTTGTCGTGGAATAGTCTTAAGAATAATCTTGTATTCATTCAAAGATGGAATGCCACTTAAATTTATAAAAAAAACATGCATATGGATTATGTTGTAGATAACTTATACACGTTGCAATTAAGCCTTTGGATAAATGTGGAGAAGATGTGTGTCGATTTTCTATTTCATTTTTTGTATCGTGAAAATGTAATTGAAGGTTTTTGGCTTCTTTCTCTTTAGGTTGTAGATCGTTCATGAAGTGATGTAGTTAACCTTGCACTCTAAAAGTGTATATTCCTTTATTTCTTTTTGTAAGTTTGTTATCAGCTGTAACACCTAATGAAGTCAACGCCAAATTATTATTATATGTTATGCTATATGTTCTAAAGAATTTCTCTTCTTTAGAGTTAGATGTTAATAAATCTCACATGACTGTTGGGAATTCATTACTGAATAAAACTATACGACCTTCTGAACAACAAAAATTTGATGTTTCGGAAAAAAAATTCACAGCATGACAATAGCAACAACATCTTACTTCTGGAAGAACATCAACTGATAAAATTACTTGTTGTAAGAGATGCTTACCTTTTCTGCTGCTATTTTTTTTGCCTAGATTTGTTGATTTCTCATTTGATGGACCTAAATGTCTAAGTATTCTTTTGTTTTTGTCTAGATATGTTGATTTCTCAGTGGATGGACCTATATGTGTAAGTTTTCTTTTTTTAAGTCTTTTGCTTTCTTTAGTTATGTTTTCATTTGAATTGCATATACTTGTTTGTATGGTATCAATTAATTATCTGTTTGACTTGTTTATCGTAACATTTGTGTTGCAGGTCATCTTTTTCTTCTTTTTCCATTTTAGAAATAATTCCTTTCTTAATTGTTTCTTATAAGCGGGAGCATCAGTAACCATATCCAACTTCTCTATTATCTCATCAGATTTATCAAAAACAAAAATCCAATTTATGATAGCTATTCTCCCATATAGTTTGTTATCTACCTTGGAATAACCAGCAACAATTATTTATATGTGAATTTTCGATGGTTGATGATTATCAATCATGGTATTGTAATTTGATGATAAACGTATAACAATTTAATAAATGCTATATCATACAACTATACCGACGGATGTATACTTCTATCTGATACCTGTAATTGTCACTTTAGTGTCAGTTCGGATAAAGATTATAATATTGTGCAAAGTGAAAAAAAATGGAGAATATTTGTAAGTAATGACTTACATGTCACATGTGTGGGTTGTTTGCTTAGAACCACTTTTGCAATTACCAATTTGGTAGTTTTGTGCAGTTGATGATCTCATCTGGTTCATTACCAATAGTTAGGTCATTTTCAGTTGATAAATAAATTATGATTGTAATTTTATTAAAAAATATAAGTGATTATACCTAAATGCAATTTTTATTTAAATGCTTGGTGTTCCACTGATTGAATTAATGTAATACAGACTTAAAAGTTGTATGTATCTTATATGCCTACAACTATATAAAATAAAGATTGTAATGATGCTATTCTGAAAATCCTTTTTTATAAAGCATGACAAAAATACTAAATTATTCCTTTGACATTAATATGTATTGCTACATCTTTTTCCAAAAATAATATTAAAGGGGATTTCTTTAATTAAATTCCCTACATTATACTTGAGATCATATTTGGATTATTAACATATATAAGGAAAAATCACCCATTCATCTAATTGGAGGAATAAATATATACACAAGATAGGTATTCCAGAAAGGAGAATTGCATTGACAGCCATTTGGAGAAACATATTTTATAGCTCATGAATAATAATGATATTAAGATCAAATTTAACCTTTATGAAACAAGCAAACTCACAGCATACATGGAAAACATATTTT